TTTGTAATTAATCATTAATTAACTGTCCATAAAATAATAAATCTAATATAATTATCGTACTTGGCATAAAAAATTAAACTTCTAGAATCTTTTTTTAAACGAATATGCGTTTTCCAAAAAATAAAATGAAAATAAATAATTAAAAATCAACAAAATCAGTTATAACGTATTTTAAGACTTTTACATGTTTTTTACTGTATGTAGTGTTTTTGTGGGCTATTTATTGAGGAAACAACATTGAAGTTATTATTTTTGAATTTCTTGTAAAATTTCCTTTACTTGAGTTTTACTTTTATTATTCTAAGTTAAGAGAAAAAAAAGTTATGAGACATAGATCAGTTATTTCTATTAAATTTGACTCTACGACTCAACTTAATAGACCCGGGGGCACGGGTTAACCTAAATGGATTGGTCCCAAATTTTGCACATCTTATTTTTTTGACCATTAAAAAAAAATTAAGGGGTAGCGTAAAAAAAAAAAAGACATTCGATTTTTGAGGGCCACCCTAATGGTCAAGTTTATCAAACCTATATAGGTCGGTTTAGCAGTGCTTGACATTAGCAAGACGCTAATGTACAAGTACTTCTACGACGTATTGAAACCACATTATGGCAGTGCAATCGAATTGGTTTACATGGATACAGGTGAGTACAACAGTACAGTAGAAATATTTTTTATATTTATATATTTTTAATTTTTCTCAGACTCCTTCATATACCTACTCAGAGTAGGCGACTTCTACCAGGATTTAGCTGATAGCCCCGATTTACTGGTGCACGTGGACGCATCTAGCCTGCCCAAGGATCACCTTTGCTACTCCACCGATAGAAAGAAGATGCCCGGCTTGTTTTCAGACGAGACCAGTGGCCTCACCCTCTTTGAGATCGCTGCACTTCGATCAAAGTGCTACGCATTTGATATGGAAGGCAGCGAACTCATAAAGTCTAAGGGGATCCGCGGACACGTCGTCCGGAACCATCTGTCTTTGGACGATTACAAACGGTATTTGTACAAAGACGATAGTGATGGTGACGATGCGTCAAAACGAGCACTGGCTGGAGAAAATGCCCGTGCGGTCATCAAAGTGATACGCGGTGGTGAATTTCCACCGAAATTATTGTTACCCTACACACCATACCGACAGAACGTGTCAATCCGTTCTTTTGAGCACGAGGTACGCACTTTACGTACAACCAAGTTGGCGCTTAACCGATTCGATGATAAGCGCTACACGCTCGACAACAGAATCGATACGTTGGCCCACGGGCATTAGGCTATATCACCACCGGAAGACCTATAGTTTTTAACTTATTATCATTGTAAAAAAAAAAAATATCCTCAAGAATTGAAAATATTTTTTGTAAATATACATGTATATAAGTAGTTTTAAAACATTTTTTTTAATGTAACATAATGTAGTAAGAAATTGTATTTTTTCTAAAAAAATATATGTATATACGTGTACATATCTGTATATATATACTACAACGTTTTTTTTTCTTCTGTACAGTACAATAGTTGTACGTGTAAGTGTGCCATAGTATTTAAGCTACAGTTACATAATGGGATGTCACATTTTGATGGTAAGGTATAAAGTATTATCCACCAAAACTCTAAGAATACCCTACGGTATTTTACATGCATATGATATTATACAGCTAGGTTTTTAACCATATTTTAACCTTTCTGAATAATTAAGAAGAAGAAAAATGATTTGAGTTTTATAGAAACATAGTTTTTTTCATATGATGTTATTAGAGAAATAAAATCTTAGATAATAATCATTATTTTGAACATTATTCTTTAAACGTATTTATAGTCTTTGTATCCATTATAATTTTAATTACAAATTACGTTAAAAATGAGATTTTCACTATGCCTCAGTATAAGTATGTATTAATAATAACAGCACTATTTTATCAAAGCAACATACGTTTATTTTAAACAATTTTTTTTTTTATAAATTATATACATTATTTAGATACTTGTCGTTTTACGATGGATAGCTATTACTAACAACTACTGTTGGTATTTTTTGGTTGTTTGTACTTGATGGTATGATTGTTTCCGAATGTATATTTGCATCTTTTGTATCATCGGCCAGCGACCCAAAAAATGTCGAGCATACGTTTTCTCCGTTAGAAGACTGAAAAAGTGATATATATATATATATTTATTAATTACGTTCTAATCAATTAGAAAAAAAAAAAATGTAACTCACCATTTCTTTAGTATATTCTTCCAGCATCGTCCACCGTTGTTCCAACTGCTGGCTCGCAAATTGTTTTATTTGGCTTATGTAGCTCAGATCGCTATTGGGTAAACTGTTTCTAATCGTATAATCCGAAACCGCATTAATCAACATATATTTGTTTTCCACATTTACTTCATACTGAGATTTCATATATTGAGCCATCTGTTCCAACTGTTGTAGAACCAATGGTTGAATTACAGTCATCTTTTGATTGATAGTCTCAAAGATACAACATTCCAAAGCGCTGAGTTTTAAAATGTCTGATTGGGTGAGTAACACTCGGCATTCATCTTGTGCTTGCGATTCAAAGACTAGCGAAGACTCTCCTTGAAACGTAGTCTTTGAGAGTGTAACGTATTCATCCTTGAATAAAATAATCCTTTGTCTTGATACCGGGTCGAGAATTAGCGACAGAATATTACCCATCAACGTATAAATCCGTTGTAGGAAATCTATCGTTATAAGTATGTAACGGATTAACGATAGTAAACGAATAGTTACGTTAAATCGATCTTTTGGATCCAATCCTATCTGAACGAATTTACGAGGATTGAAATTTAAAATGTAATCGATTAATTCACTGTGAGGTTCGGGTTTAACAAATGTTTGTTTGTTATAGAATTTAGCAATTGTAGCGAGAGAACCAGCCATTCTTAAAGCATACAAATAATAAATTTAATAATCAAATAATTAAAGTAAACCCATTGCTACTATTTCAACTAATCGCTATTTAAAAAAAAAACCAGCAATGTCCCGGCACAGTGTGTATAATTGGGTGCAATATAGATGATATGTGACAGTGATTAAAATCATTATCAAAAAACAACGCCTTGATGCAAATCTGTAGATAGTGTTTAATTTTTAAATTTTAATGGATTATTACAAAAGCTACATGATCTCCTATTTCCTTATTTATATCCTAAATACAAGTTATATGCATTACTAGTGCAAAGTATGTAATCGATGGAGGATTTCTCCACTATAAAGTTATTTAACAAATGTATCAAACAAAATTTTTTTCCATTTTCTTATTCATTTTCCCATTCTAAATTTTGATAGAATATATCTTCAAAAAAATTACAATTTTCTTAATCTTCAATCTTTATTTCTATTGAATTTGTACGCCATTGACCTTTGCAATGTTCACATATAATAGAACATTTAAGCCCTGTTTTTCGGCAGCCACAATTTTTACCAGCTCCAGCACCTGACTAAAGGCCGTTTTATGACAATTATCTTTATTATTAGCAGAAATTCCGGTGGCAATTGACATAATATAATTGTTGTTTGGGAATGTACAATTTAGCCTTTAGTTGGGTTCAAACAATATAGCGTCAAATCAATTACTTACTCTATCGGTTGTATCTTAATATACACTACACTATAATGGTACTATAAATAAATAAATTTACACAGACACACATATACATTTATAACATTGCGTCTAATGTAAGTATAACATGATAAAAAGTAACCGTAAAATGAAAAAAATTGGAAAATAACTTTTAGTACTCATATTAAATGTAATGTAGCTCGAAAAATATTTGTTTAAATGAAAAAATATAAAATATATTTTTTGTTTAAAATTGTCTTTTAAACAACTTTTGTACGAAACTTTTTTATTGTAAGTTAAATATTTTTTGAGAAAATTAAAAAATCTCATATTTTTTAACTTTTGCGAGGCTGTAAAAAAAAAAACTCAAGTCCAATCGATGAGGACTTTTAATATGTCATTATAAATATCTTAATTCAACTTAAAAAAAAAAAATTTGGTTGGCAATTTTTTCCGCCATTTTTCCTTCGTTGACTGGCCTACCACCCGACGCCACGCTTTGTAGTATAATTATTAACACATGTACTAAATATCACATATGTATGAATAAAGCCAAAAATCATCTAAGGAATGTTTCCCTTTTAGGGTAATAAAAATAACTATTTATCAACACATGTTTCAAACCAGTCCCCTACAATTCATTAACTACGCCCACGGCAGGGTTTCTATCACAATTAACCAATCACAAATAATGATCTAACATCTTAGGAATTTCAATAGAGATCGCTGGTTTACTTCATCCGGCGTATAAAAAGCCATTTTTCTCGTAAAAAGGGACGCTTTTTGCTGCTCCTGCTCTTCTTTTGGGACCTCTGACGACTTCGGACGACCTCTCTTCTAAATATTCTCTTACATGGAATCTGCGTCAGTATAAGTAAATATTTTATCCCTGTGACTTAGTTTTTTTTTTATGTATCATCCTAAGTGGTGAACATTGTCTTAGATGATTTATTAATATTTTACACAGGAACAAGTTTTTATTTATTTTATTATCACCTAATATTCTCCCGACAAATAGACATTATATCTACTTATATATAAAGGTTTTAAATATTATTATGCCCTTCATTTCTGGACAGCCTCAAATGTGCCGAAAAGAGTGAAGAAGTGTAATTTTATTTATTTAGACATAGTTTGTAATATATACGAATTTTAAATATTATTGTGCCCTTCATTTCTGGACAGCCTCAAATGTGCCGAAAAGAGTGAAGAAGCGTAATTTTATTTATACAGGCATAATAGCCTTATACATTATCGTATATTCATAATAAAGCTTATTGTGCCCTACATTTATGAACAGCCTTAAATGTGCCGAACTAAATGGAGAAGCATAATTTGTGATTAGAATTAACTAGTTTTAGTAGTAGTACTTTATGCCTGTGTACCCGCCAGCCTTAAAGGACTATGCCAATTACCTTTCGGTAACGTGTAGGCAGTTGAGGTACAGAGTAGTACTAACCTTATAAAAAGAGTATTTTTGAAGTGCGCTATATCCGTCGACAAGCCAGTTCTAGAGCTAGTAGTCCGGGTAGAGTTCATCATAAAATATATAGTCCGTAAGATAGGAAACTACATCTTGGAAATATTCTCTGCGTGTGTACCCGCCAGCCATAAAGGACTATGCCAATTACCTTTCGGTAACGTGTAGGCAGTTGACGTAAAGGATAGTAGAAGATGTATTGAAATAATATTTAAAATATATTAGCGAGGTAACTGTGTCCGCGCCAGCCAAGGCTTTTACGCTGAGAAACGCTGGGTACCACAGTCTTGTTAATTATATTTTGAATATAGATAGACATATTCTTATAATTATATTTTGACTAGTTCAGAGTAAATTTTAAGAATATCGATATCGACTGTAGGGAATTCATCGCAAATATTATTAGTAAAAACATAGTATAATATAATAGGAATTTAAAGAAAATAAATAAAAACAGGGGTAACAAATTATAATAGACGCAGGTCCCATTATAGAGAATCCTTTTTCTAAGTCTTATATACACAGAGATACTAATTTATCGAAATAAACGCAAACAGTATAAACGACAGTTAACACTGAAAGAAGAAATCACCATAAAACCAACTCAATCAATTACTAAAGGAAATAAAGGTAAGTGCGAATATTTATTTGCATGTCTTACTTATAAAAAATCACGTAATAAACAAAAATAGGAATAAATGAGGTAGGGATATTTTATTATTTAATAAATAAATATAGTTAGATCCCAAGATACGATTTCATTAATACCATCTTTACCCCCCTTAACTTAAGCCATCTTTTTCTTTTTTTTGTTTATTACAGCTTATCACACGACGGCAACACTATTCCTGAATAAATTATTTTTGGCTATCGTACCCGTACACGCGTGCGTGTCATTAATATTATATATATATAATTAATTTGTTTAAATTAAATATATAATTAAATAAATTTGTTTATATATATATTATATATATAAACAAATTTTTATTTTAACTGTCCAATACCATCCGCGTGCCATACGGCTTACGTATATATTCCTACCGCCGTTTATACCTCAAGTATAACGTTAGTCCGACCCGCCCGCCCACAAAACACGGCTATATCTAGTGCATGATACGTTTACGAAGTTAAATCACTTTACTTGTATACAGGATGATTTTTTTATCATAGCCCACTCAATTACTTACAGAATAAATATATTCAAACATTTTTTTTTTTGGTTATCTTTAATTACACATTATTCTTGAATTATTAACTATTTAAAACTTTTTATGATCATTCCTTATGCCTTGTAAGTGTGACAACTTTATTTTTTTAAGTGGGAACAAATATTTTGAATTTAATAAAATGTTTAAGTTTTTAATTTAATAGAAAATGGCATTTGAATTTTTAATATAACTTTATTCGTTTATTAGATATAAACATTTAATGTTTCAAATTTTTGAGTTAATATACAGGTATAATACACAAGGGATTACAAATACAGGTAGCTAATTGGTTTTTTATGACATCGCTGTAACAGTCCCGGATTGTTTATTATCAATTATGACTATCAATAGATATATTTTTTATATTATCAGTTAGTGTATTTATGAACTCACAACAATGTGCCTTACTACCATTGATAATAACAATGCCGTGTACCTAAATGTTTATATCTAATAAACGAATAAAGTTATATTAAAAATTCAAATGCCATTTACTATTAAATTAAAAACTCAAACATTTTATTAAATTCAAAATATGTGTTCCCATTTAAAAAAAACAAAGTTGATACCCTTACCAAACATAAGGGATGAACTTAAAAAGTATTACATAGTTAATTATTCAAGTATAATGTGTAACTAAAGATAACCAAAAAAAAAATGTTTAATTTATATTTATTCTGTAAGTAATTGAGTGGGTTATGATAAAAAAATTACCCTGTATATATATATTATAATTACTATTAAAATTTATATATTAACATGCTTTATTCTCATTAAGAGATATAAAGTATTCATTCCGGTTACGAGGGATGATTTCCGTATCGTCATTTTTCGTCACTACCCCACGTTCCGTGAGTGGGTAATTTGCGCGCCTGCTGCTTTCCTTGGATGTGGTAGCCGTTTCTCTGACTCCCTCTCCGGAATCGAACTCTGATTTCCCGTTACAACCAAGATATTGATAGTAATTACTGTTATGTCATGAAACTAAAAAGTAAAAAATAAATATAGTTTAAAAAAACACGCTTTTAAAGCACATCGAACTAAAAAGTTAAAAATCATTTTTAATATAAGCTTAAAATAATTATGAACAAAAAATACTAGTATTATTGTGATAAAAGCATGGGTGCTTTGTGCCATATTTTTCGTATATTGAGCGCCCGACACATTTATCATAATAATACTAGTATTTTTGGTTCATAATTATTTTAAGTTTATTTTAAAAATGATTTTTAACTTTTTAGTTTGATGTGCTTTAAAAGCGTGTTTTTTAGTTTTTTTTAACTATATTTATTTTATGATAAGGAATTAGAGGTCACAATGGATTATTTCATTTGATATGTAAGAGGGGCGTTGGGTATAAGGCCAGACTCTGTGATTGGGAACTAAAAATTATAGCAAAAAAAAGTAATTATTGATAGATCTGGGTTAAAAAATTTTGTTTAATAATTTCATTTAAAACATTAACATTATCTATGATTTTAAAAATTATTTATTTTAGTATTAATTATGACCTAATAATTTTTATCGACCAAAGTAATTTTTCATTTAAGTTTTTTCCAAATATTAAATTTATTTCTATTCAATGATTCATTTACACACTTCTATAATTTAGAATTAAAATTAAAATTTTTAATTTAGTAAAACTTATCCTATATTAAGAATTAATTACTTGTGGCCAATATTATTTAATTTTAAAAATATATTTAAAATATTAAAATTTTGATTTTGAATTATTAATTGAACTAAATAATTTCTTAAATTAAATTGGCTTGAATATTATTAATAATTATTAATAAAATATGAATATATAGTATGCATTATCAAGGGTAAAGTTTATAAACTACTAAAAATCACCAAAAACAAAAATTGCTTTACTCACATTTTTAGTTTTGAAACAAACAAGGGAACCGATTAGTAGTTATTAAATTTTTGTCCCTTTATAAAAAATAGTTTCGGCACGTCTGTATATACGTACAAATTAGGGTGACAAAAAGTAATTCTATTTATGAAGTAATAATGGATTACCTCCAAACCTTGTTCTATAAACAAACAAATATATTGTAAAATTATAATAAAATTTTGCCAATTTTCTTTTCTGGTTGGGTACTCATTGACAACCCATCCCTAAATGTCGCTTTTGGCTAGGAATCTAACTAAAACTATTACATCCCCACTAAAAATCAGATATACTAAGAACCAATACCTTTAAAATTTAAGAAGATGCACCTGTTAATGATTCCTTTACAGACGCAATCGTATATTTTAATATGACCAGTTGTATGGTTAAACAATCCA